TGTGTGTGTAAATAAATGTAGTGGAAATATGATTAGTCATTGTTTATATTTTTATGTCAACTCACTATAAACGTNTAATATGTAATCAATATATTAAATGATTTGTTCATTTTTTCATGTCTGATCATTACTATTTTCTGTTTATTTTGATGTAATCTAGTATTATTTGTATAAATAAATAAATTGTCCATTTATGAAAAAAAAACAAAATCCATTTCATTGCTAGCTTCGTACTAAGAAATTTTTATTGGAATTTAAAATTTAATAAAAGAGTTAATGATCCATCTCCCCTCTCTTATATGCAATAATAAACAATTTAAAGTTTTCCGTTGGAAATTTTTTCGAACTGTAATACTTTGATGCAAATATTTGGCGACATGTAGCCTAAATTGGAATAACTTAAGAACCTCATCTAGGCCAAATCAAAGACACCGACGAACTGTCTTAAACGTAAATTCCTTAACGAAGATTATGTCCGTTTATCACTCCAACGACCCGGGTTCGAATCCTGCAGTTTCTAAAGGTTCATTCAGGTAGCCGACCCCCGACCTACCCAGCCGTCCATCCTTTCGAGGCTGGTAAATAAGTAGACGACTTAAGTTGTCGCATGTTGGCCGGCGAGATGGCTCAAGTGGTCCAAATGCGCACTGAGTCAAAACATTCCAATGGCTATCACATACTCAGCGTATATGATGTGCTGCTTGCGCGTGCACATAAATACATGTGTACGTCGTGTGAAAAGGAAGATGGCTGCTTCAAATCAATGGTTGAAGATAGTTGATATCAGATCCGAATGATCGATATTACCATCGTGTCTACCTTGATTGACAATATTTGATTTTTATTTCTTGTTATTCTAATGCGTTCATCAACATTTTTCATTGCGTGATAATCTTAATATCATTGGTGCTTCACTGTATGGTCAGTAGTGAAGTACCATGAAACACGTGTCGTGTTATTTTAATCGATCGCATTCAACGTCTTTTTCACGCAGCTGTTGTTATCGAGATAGTTTGTGATGCGTTGTCTTCAACATCACTGTTATTTGTCCCATGTCATATTTTTAAATGTTGTTATCATTGTAAGTAAACAATAATATTAAACGTCTTATAAAAATTATAGCGTCGTTTTTATTTTCTTGAAAACATGTTTTTACTCATAATGGTAAACACGTAGTTTTTTTTCGTCGTAGTCGATTTTCTTAAGCAAAAAATTTGAGATGAGTGCAGAGGGGTTTCAACGAAGCCATGAGAGAAAATTTCAGGGCTGATGGTTTGTTAAGAAATATGAAGTGATAATTTTTTCCTCAACTTTTATTTTAAAAATTGCTCCGTTTGAATTAATCCTAGAAATATTTGTAGAACTTTAACTTTTACTTCATTCGCAGATGAGTTCATGCAAATACATGTGTAATGCCGATTGACTTTAAAAAAAGTTTTGTTAGCCCTCAACAAACCTTCAAATTTCTGTAAATTTACAGCAAAATAACTGATCATATGCTTTGGAAGTGTAACACGCATGGTAACTGGGAGATTTTTTAAACAGTAGTAACACTATACCCATTACCACGTTAATGATTGTATTTCACATCGTAGTTATTACTCATAAGTATTTAGCAGATATTATTTAAAAAAACCTCGGAAAAGAAGAATAAAAATGTTGTAAAAATAAAAAACTAAACATATAAATATTATTTTCTTCTAATATCACTTATCGATCGAAAATGTGATGTTCGTTCATTTTGTCGTCTTGACTCCTTTCAAGCGAGAAATTACATCAATCATCTTACACGCCATCCCCTAACGTCGAGACGAGAAAAACTTCAGAAGAGTCATTTTTACATTTCAAAAAGAGAAAAAACTTATTGATTATTTATCATTTAAAACACTATATTAGGATGCATCATCTTCAAGTTGTTTTATCATTCCTTGAAAACTCAAATACG